GAGACACACAGCGAGACAGAGACAGAGACAGAGACAGAGAAACCGACCGTGCGTAGGTACGCGAGCGAGTGTTAATGCGTGCGTGCGCTCGTACGTGCGTGTGGGTGTGCACGCGCGAGCGGGCGGGCGCGTGTTCATTGGAGTGAGTGCGTGAGCAATAGAGAGGGAGACATGCGCTACTGACGTCAAAGGCCTCTCACTTGGTTTCTCCGACAGCCGGGGCCTTGTCTCCGAGTGAGAGCGAGAGCAATTGTGAGAGTGAGACAGAGAGAGATAGAGAGAGAGAGAGAGAGAGAGTGAGAGAGAGAGTCGCTGGCGACGATAGCTGCAGGCGCTCAGGAGAACCGTTCGACTCCTCAGTTCATACACGGCTGTCGCAGCGGTGAACCTCCGGAGGAAGAGTCGCGACCTTCGCACCCGCAGCGCCGCGCCGATTTCCCGGGCTACCCGAGAAAATCGCCGCGGCATCATTCAGGAGGCAGGGGAGGAATCCGAGCCCGCCGTCCTTGCCTTTACACGGTGAGTTCTAGTCAGTCACGTAATTGCGGGCGCGCTCGCGCGCCTACTCCGCCGGAGAATAAAAGGTGTCGCTCATAATTTTCTCGCGATTTTCCGGCACGCGCAGGCGCGTCTCCCCCCTCCCCCATCGCCGTAGACAGTGCCGATCGCCAGCCGGTCTTCTGCGGCTCGCATGCCGCCAGGGAATTCCTTGCCCCTTTACTACGTCCGTCACCGTCATCCGCGGCCGTTACGTAAATGCCGAAGCCACACTTGCGTGTATCGATGTTGCGTTGTTCGCGCGCCGTCCGTGGTGGGATCGATCGCGTTTGCGCGCTTACGAGTACGAATTCCGCGGAAGTTGTTTCACGCGCCTCGTTACGTCGTCGTTGCGCTCGACTCGTCGTGGAACGCCGCGCATTACTGCGAGCCGGATGACGATTCCTCGGGATGCGACTGTTGTAGGGGAAGCTGGAGTCTTATGCAAAGACTCGTGGACTGAGACGGCAATTTTGCTTCATTCTCTCCTACGACGGCGGTAAATTGCTTTTGTCGCCGTGTGGAACTTTCACTGGTATCGAGCAACTTAGCGACTCTCTCTCTCTCTCTCTCTCTCTCTCTCTCTCTCTCTCTCTCTCTCTTTGTCCTATGGAGTCGGATAGAGCGAAGCGAAATGTAACGGTGTCATTGCACCTATCGTGTAATACGATGAAAAAAATCACCTGCTAATGTACAGCCGGATCTAAAGATTTATGAGTCTGAGAGGAGAATACAAGATCGGAATTTCAAATAATATCGCACCGCGCTCCGAGATATTTCCAGTACTTAAAAGTTTTTCTTTTCTTTTTTTCTATACTTTTTTCTATTTCTTTTACTTTTTCTTTTTGCTTTTGTTCCTCGCCTAACAACGCGTTTAAATAATAATTGATTCTACTTGTACCCTCAATGTCATAAAGATACTTTGTAGAGCACAGAACAAGAGTCTCTACCACGTTAATTACTTTAACTTATTTATCTTCGTAATTACTTTATGAACAGAAATGAAGTATTATCCATTTTTCAATTAAAATTTTAGAATCTTAACGTGAGACTTTTATTAAACGACTATTGAAATATATATATATATATATATATATATATATATATATATATATATATTTATTTATTTATAACGTTTTATATAAATATTATCGTAATCAATTGGTTTGGAGAACTCTCTTGTTGTTATACGAATTGTTACGAAAATAATTTAGATCGCTAACAACGCAATTAAGTAATTTATTTTGCAATTTGATGAGCCTTCCTATCGAGCGAATACAAATTATTTTAAGCAATTTCGTAGCATAAAAGAGTTAGAAAAGAAACGAAAGAAAGAAAGCTTAAAAATGTTTGATTAACTGAATAATTTCTAGGAACGAAAGCATCTCCGACCGTTTGCAATGAATTCAAAGCATAATTCACCGTGTATCGATATTATCATCGTCGCGGCACACGTGACCGTTAAACAATGAAACGCTTCCGGGACAAAGACATCCTTCGTCGCACAAAAGACCTACGCTAATTTTCATAGAATCGAATTCAAACTCGATAAATCGAGTGCTTTTCCGAGGGCGCGCACTGACTGTGAAAAACTATTTTTCTCTAGAGCGCTGGAATTGAAAAATAAACGTACTCGCAAGCCGACGTCTACCTTTAAATGAATTCCAGTTGCATGGAACGTCGATGCGAAAGATTGATTCGAGTGTGCATTTCCGTACGTAGAAATTTCATTGCACTACTGACTTTGAGCGAGTGAAGCAAGCACTTCACGCGAACGAATATTGATCTTAACAAGAAAACGGTAGAGCTAAAATTAATCGCGATGAACTAATAACCTTCGGGGATGTAAGAATAAAAATAAAAAATTAAACAATAATGATTGAAAGAAGCCTGAAACGCGCTCGGTAAGCGAGACGTCGATTTTAAAGTGAAAATTTGCGTTTAAAGGAAGGCAGGCAGGCAGGCAGGCAGGCAGGCAGGCTCAATTCCCTACAATAATCGCTAATTTCTTCCTGCTCCCTAGACGCTAGTAATCATCCATGCAAGGCAGCGTCCCTCTCTACAATCTTATTTCAAAATAAACGAGCTGCAATAACGACGAGTCGATTATCATCGTTTGAGCTGGCGAGAAGCGTTTGCTGCCAAGTCCCGTGGCGCTTCGGTCGCAAAACTCCTGGAGCGTCAATTGAGCCGAGTCGACCTCGGTAGCTGCCTGGCGTACTATCACAGGGCCAAGGATTCGTCGCCATCGCCACGAGTTGGGCGCGTACTTAGGAGTGGCACGTCGCCGGCCGCGATCGTGGCGCACTAGATCCCGATCCCGTCTCGCCGGGGGCAGCGGGATGTCGCGGGCAGTCCCGCTTACGCTGCTCTTGGCGATCGCGGGCGCGGCCGCCCTCAGCTGCCCGGATAGCCGGCAGTGCTACTGCTTTGAGGAGTCGGCGAGCGAGCAGCGGGTCCACTGCGCCGCTGGCAACGGGACCACGGCCGCCGCCTTCGACCTGACGCTGCGCCGTCACGAGCGGCTCCTGGTCGAGTGTACCGGTGGTCCGGATTGGGCCGACTTCCTCCTGGGCTCGCCCCTCGACGTCGGATCCGTGAAGACGCTCGTGTTCGCCTATTGCGCCCCGCCCGGATCCGAGCATAGCCCCAGGGTCGCCGGCTTGCTTGGGACCCGAGACGTCGAGGTTCTCAGGTTCAACGGGCTCAACGGCTCCCTCGGCAGACACGATCTCGCCGACTATCCGAGCGTCAAGAACCTCGCACTTTCCAACAACAATTTGACGGGCGTGGGTGCTGACCTTCTTCGAGGTACGTTTTACATCCGAATTTTACACTCTCTACGTGCGCGTGCGTGCGTGCGTGCGTGCGTGCTCTTCGTATTTGTAATTATTAACGAACTAATGTACGTATGTTGTTTGCAAATTTACACATTTTGTTGTTTTATATAACGCCGGCATTTGTGTGCTCCGCTCGCCCAAAAACACATTCTACGTTTTGCGATGTGATTTTACCTACGATTAGCGTTTTCCAACAAGCCAACAAAATTCTTTCAAAGTGCCTTATTTGTATTTATAAAGATAAAGCGTTGTTTTATTGTGACTTAAAAAAATTATGCGACCTCTCTCGACTTGTCAAAATTCAATTGGCAGCTAATTTATAAAAGCATTCCATTTCGTTTAACAAGAATTTACATTAAAAAATTTTTTTAAATATTAATAACAATAATAATAATAGTTACAATAATAATAATTATAATAATAATCATAATAATAATCATAATGCCTAAATAATATAATTCAATATAATCGCTGCGAGAGTAATAAGAGAGATAAGAGTAATAAGAGAGAAAATTTTCAAAATTAATAAGTAATCATCGACCTTAAAAATCAGTTTGGTAATCGATGAGTATTGATAATTTGATTTCAAACTCATTATCTAGATTGGCTTAAATGAGTATAAATTAGAACAGCAAATATTTTACGATTATCAATTGGCACTTATAAATCTTTAAATAAAAAAAAAAAAAAAAAAAAAAAAAAAAAAAAAAAAAAAAAAAAACAACAGTATAACTTATTTATTCACTTATAAGATTTAAATGTATACTTTAAGTATCGATGAATAAGATTGTTATTTGCATTTATCATATAAATAAATGATTATGAAACGAAACATCGAGTCTTCACATACACAAAATTATCATTTATCATCGTGAATAAAACGAAGCCTGAGATGTAGCATAATACACGCGCATAATGACAATTTTCCAGATCTCCCCTCCCTGAGATTGTTGGAGCTGCGCAGTACCAATATCCAATTGCCGACCGGTTTCTTCGATAACTCATCGTCCTTACGCATTTTGGAGCTCGGCAGCAATCAGCTGCGACAGCTGGAGCCAGGCACCTTCGACGGCTTACACAAGCTCGAGCTGCTAAACCTTTGGAAAAATGACTTTCGCAAGCTCGAAGCCGACGTCTTCCGCGGCCTCAATACCCTGCAATCTCTTGATCTCAATCAGAATGGACTGAAAACTCTGCCGGCCGATATTTTTAAGGTAAGATTCCGATTCCCATTGATGGAACAATTTTAGAATCCATCCTTTCATTTTGCAGCCCGTATTTTCTAAATATAATACTTTCCTACCTTTCTCGAAGGCTACATTTTTTAATCCAAATGGTAAATAAATTCCTTTACATTCAAGCTATATGCCGCTATATGATTATTTAATAATTTAGTAAGTAAAGTATTATCATAATGTTGGATAAACCGAAGATAACGAAATCCTTTGATGCTTTTAACATTTTGAACTTTTCACGAATTTTCCAAAAAATAATATCTTCTCTTGCGGACGTGCCAATTAATATGTCGGTTTAAAAATTTTCGACACCACCCCTCGGTCACCCTCTCAAACGAAGAAATGTCCAGTTAAATACAACTCCAAATTAAATTATAACGTGAATAATATGAACGCCATAATCTTTCTATCCAAAGGATCTGGAGAACCTGGAGTTAGTGAATCTCAATTCGAATAATTTTACGTCGCTGCCGCAAGGCTTGTTCCGTACGAACCTAAAGCTTCGCGTGGTTAAGCTCCAATACAACAAGCGCAATCTCACAGAACTACCCGATGGTCTCTTTGCGAATCTCACGGCTCTCAAGTCGATCCTAATCACGCGTAACGGCTTGCTAAGACTGCCCGAGGATCTTTTCTGGGGCTCCACGAGTCTAAGGAATCTCACCATCGATAGAAATTACCTGACGACTCTGCCACGTAGAATCTTCCAGAATGCCACGGAACTCTACATTCTCAGCTTATCCTTCAACGACCTAAAAGAACTTCCCGATGGGATATTCGAAGCTACCTCGAAGCTAGCCAAGCTCGACTTGTCCAAGAATCATCTTACATCGATAAACGAGTAAGTGGAGCCTGGCCTCATCCAACTCTTTACCAAAAATGCTTTTATGGATTATTTGGGCATTTATTGCAACATAATTCATTCGATTTGAAGCGTCTCTAATAAGAATAATCATGCGTAACTCGGTAAGCTCGGTCGGTTAATTGAACAATTTCAACTTCATGCATTGGAGTTTCGAGGTGACCGATTGTGTAAAACTTGCTTTAACGAGAGACTTCATTTCATTGATACTCGAAACAAAATGTTGATGAAATCTAAACCATCCTTATATTTTGTTACAAAATATATTGAGAGAAAGAAGTTTTTAACGAGATCGTTTAAAAAAAAAAAAAAAAAAAAAAAAAAACTTTCTAAACAATTTATGGGAAAGCATATACGACCTGCAGTTATCCGTCCTTAGTCGTCAGTCGGAAAAACCTAATCGTTCCGAGTTGGAATGAAATAAGAAAATAACATCACTTTACTTGCAGCCGCATGCTGGTAGGACTGGAATCTCTACGAATGCTTAATCTGGAAAACAACGACCTGACGTACATTCACGTGAATGCCTTTAGCTTCCTTGGCAATTTGCGTGTAGCGAAATTTGCCTACAACCGACTGACCTTGCGCACCGGACTCTATGACATCTTTGGTCACATTTCACCGTTTCATCACTGCCACTCCCTGGAGGAGCTATACCTTGCCCATAATAATGTCACCGAGATGCACAGTGACTGGATAGTTAGCAATACGAGGCTACGTGTGCTCGATCTCAAGTACAATTCCTTCAATTATTTGGAAGTAGGTTGCTCGTTGAATGTGTTTCTCATAATGAATTTGAATCCGCTAATCAATCGACGCATTATCTTTCCCGCTCTGTCAACCACATATTTACAGTAAACATTGAATTCGCATTTTGAAGATTGCCATAACTAATTACTCCATTACTTTGTCAATATAAATAATATCTTTTGAATGCAATGTCTTATATTTACACCTAATCATCGGGATTTTAATAATCCAACGTGTCATTGCACCACTAAGAATTCAGTGCAACATCTTAATCAAATAAATAATTGTAAAATAGTAATAGATGCCTTATCAACAACAATAACAACAATAACAACAACAACAACAACAACAACAAAAACCGTTTCGATCGAAAGTTGAGAATCATGAGCTACGAGTGATAAAAATCACTCTCAACCGGCTCATCTTCTTTCTTCGAGCGAAGCAAACGCCCGAAATCTGATAGAATCGATTACAACTATAAATTGTCCTAGACGGAGGACCTGCAGTTCATTTCGAGCAGCGTGAGCGTGGATCTGCGCCACAATAACATCTCGCGGGTGGTGCTAGCGCGGCTCGAGCTGATGGCGGCCAACCAGAGTGCCCCACGTGACGTCATCGTCGACATTGCCGATAATCCAATACGTTGCGACTGCGAGGTATACGAGCTGCTGCGCTACCTGAACGGCGACATGCATCCTTACGTACAGAACTACGTGCACTTGAGGCCGGGCAACTTGAGCTGCGAGAGTCCGGACTACATACGGGGGGCACAGGTAAAGCGACAGCGAAGCCACGACGCGTAAGTTGCGAACAGCCAAAGAAATTGCTTTTATGCGTCTATTTTATTTCTGGATTCAAGAGCTCATTAAGATTATCATCACGCAACGTCTGCGCGCCAGTGTTATCCTTGCCCGGAGTGACGTCGCGCCTTTACGAGAATTAGGCACGCGCGTGCAAAGTCGACCTTTTGTAAGCGTGTGTAAACGAGGCGCGTTTACGGCCAAATAACAAAGCGCGACTAAATAAATAAGAATGAGTTGCGTGGGAAAACAAAACAAAAACAAAAAAAAAACAAAAAAAAAAAAAAAATAATAAAGAAAAAAGAAAAGAAAAGAAAAAGATCCCCCGCACGTGGGTCATATAACAGAGCTGATCTCGCGTACGGACATGACATATTATACGTGATTGCGACGCATCGATTCGTCCTGTCAATGAAAGATTAGATTTTTCAAATTCCAATGGTATTTCCATGCAGTTTAAGCTCGACTTTACCGATTATGCTTACTAAACTGCGAAATCCTTGTTTCCGTCATTTTTACGTGATCAAGTATAAAAATTCTTGCTCTCTAATTGTTCTACAAGACTTTAATTGCTAAGTATGCTAATAAATGGCTGTCTCCTTTCCTTTTACACGTTAATTAATTAGTACACTTATTACGCATGTTCTTGTGACTCAATTTGCGATAAATACTACATACAAATACTAGGGCCTAACGTTGCAATAAACAATGAGCAGCGATAATTTAATATTGGCAAAATAGTATAAAAAAAAAAATCTTTTGGTACGATATAAGTTTCTCAACGTCGCGAAGAGGAAATAAATAAGCCTTGAATTAACGAGAGTCGTGGAAAACATACGTGCCGTCCTCATTACGTGCGATTGATCCGTAAAATGGACGCGGCTTGTCCGAGCGTTTGATCATCTCGGCGATAAGCGCTAAGGAAAATCACGGGAAGCGCGTATAATATGACCAGCGAATCATCGCTTAATTATCGTGGAGATTATCGCGTCAGGTGTTCGAGCTGAAGGCCAAGTCGCTGAAATGCCTGGTGGAGAGCGAGCAGCCGCGGCCCGGAGATCCATGCTCGCCGAGCGGCGGCGCCTGCACCTGCTGGCTGAGACCCGAGGACCGGGCGTTACTCCTTGATTGCGCAGCCAGGAACCTGACGAGACCGCCGGAGTGGATAGACGCGCGGGCCGTCGCCAAAGTCGAGCTCGACCTGACAATGAACGAGCTCAAGGAGCCACCCTCCATGTACAAGAAGGGCTACGAGAAGGTGACGAGCCTCAACCTCGCCAAGAACCGGATTTCCGTCGTCGACGAGAGACTGCTTTCCCCCAATCTCAAGGTAATCGCTTTTGCTTGAAATGGTACTGGGAGGAAATGCTTGCAACCGCATTGGCTTGCGTCTCATTTCATGTGCTTATTATTCTGCTCGAGGATGCGCTTTAGGACTATCGGGAATGACAGTCTAACATTACGGCCTTAAATAACATTTTAGATATTAACATTTTATCCTTAGATATAATTATCCTTGGATAATACTCGATCTGCGTCATCCGCGGTATTCGCAGCTCCCTAAAATATTCATAATCTGATATTACATTTCATGGATAAATAATTATATCTCAAGACCTATCCGATACATTAACGCGCTGCAGACAATCTTGAAACTGACACGTATCGAAATATTTTAACATTGCGTACAATTGTTTTGAATATTACGAAACTTGCAGACAAATCTATCAGCTACGAAAAATACAATAATTCGTAATGATTGAAGCTTCCAAATTGAAAAGAATCGTAATCAATTTTATTTATAATCCGCGATTATATTTCACACGAAACGTTTTTTATTAGCAACGAGTGAAGCCGATATATTATAAAAGTGCATTTACGTGTGTCCTTAACGAACGTGAACGTTATTACGTTACTGCGATACAGAATGACGCGAACGAGTCTTCGCAAATCAATCGCAAATCACTTCATCTCCATCCCCTCTACAATCTTTACAGACTCTCCTCCTCGACGGCAACAATCTCACCTCCATTGATTCGAAGATCTTGGATAGACTCTCGAACTCGTCCCACATAACGAAGCTCACGCTCCACGACAATCCATGGCGGTGCGACTGCAACTCCCGTAACCTTCTGTCCTTCATTCAATCCAACTCGCTCGACGTACCCGAGCTTCTGCGCGTCACCTGCTCCAACACCAACGTCTCGCTCTCGAACATCGCCCTGTCGGAGCTCTGCACCTCGAACAACGACACGGCGATCCTCGTCTGCTCCATGGTGAGCCTCCTGGGGCTGCTGGTCGGCGGCGGGGCAGCCCTCTACTTCCGCTTCCAACGGCAGATAAAGGTCTGGCTATTCTCGAAGAGCCTCTGCCTGTGCCTCGTGAGCGAGGAGGAGATCGATCGGGACAAGAGGTACGACGCCTTCATCAGCTACTCGCACAAGGACGAGGAGTTTGTGGTTAAGGAGCTGGTGGGGAGGCTGGAGGAGGGACCCCGGCCCTATCGACTCTGTATTCACGTGCGCGACTGGTTGGCCGGCGAGTGGATACCTACGCAGATCGCACGGAGCGTCGAGGAGTCCAAGCGCACGATCGTCGTACTCTCGGCCAACTTCATCGAGAGCGTCTGGGGCAGACTCGAGTTCCAGGTCGCCCACAAGCAGGCCCTCAGCGAGCGTCGCGCCCGCGTCATCGTCGTCCTTTACGGCGACATCGGGCCCACCGAGAAGCTCGACCCCGAGCTCCGGGCCTACCTGCAGATGAACACTTACGTCAAGTGGGGCGACCCCTGGTTCTGGCAGAAGCTCCGCTACGCGATGCCACACACGCGGACTGGTTCGGAGCACTCACATTCCAATGGCATCCTCGGAAAGGGGATTGTCGCTAACGCGAAAGCCAGAGAAGGAAAGCTCGCCTTCGCCGAGGACGTGCGCCGTAACCAGACCTTCGTCGATACGGTCAAGGGCATCGACAAGAACTTGAACGGCGGCTTCGATATTGGACCACCCCAATGCACGACAGTCTAATTGTTATTTTACTTTTATTCGCATTGCATTTCATTGCTACCCTCGACAAATATTCTTTGAGCTGACGATATTGTGGACGATAAGTCGATTACTTAAAGAATTGCTTTTGGACAAACGAATGTTAAAATGTCGTAATGCATGACGTTTATATAACTTTAATAACTATACTCTCGATTCTGTCAGATTTTCATCTACATTATCGGTATTGCCTTTGTAAATGAAGCTTGAGAGCCGGTGAGGGAGTGCGTGAGTGAGTGAGTGAGTGAGTGAGCGAGCGAGTGACTATGAGAGAGAGAGAGAGAGAGAGAGAGAGAGAGAGCACGATTTTGACAATTTCGGTTAATTTTTTTCATTTTTATACATTGCCTGTGCATCCAAGTATTTTATAAACGATATAATATGATAATTCGAACCAAAGCATAGATAAGATTTCATTATTACTCGGTTGGAATATTACTCTTTTATAAGAATATGAAACAAACAAAAAAAAGAGTGAAAAAACAAGAACGATATGATTAGAAGGTCTTTGCAAGTTTTATAGAAAGACCGTGTAAGTATATTACAAGACTGAATGAAAATAATACCTTTCTTTTAAGATTATTAAGACAGAATACAATTCTCATTTTGTATTTGAAAATTCGTTTGCCCTTTCTTATATCAATAAGAATAAGTAATTACACTACTAGTGATAAGCGCTAAAAATACTCAGGTCCATATAGAGCTAAAATTAATGTGAGCAACGTAGTGCATGATGACGCTGTAATGAGAAATTTATAGGCTTTTTGGTTTATAAGTATGCGAATAATATATATATATATATATATATATATATTAATGTGTAAGCTTAGCCTTTAAAATGGTTAATTATGCCATGAACTATCGTTACCAAGCCATCTTTTGTATAAATAAAACAAATTATACCTTTGTCATACATACATTTTCATTTTATTTACTACATTAGAATTATATTTTATATTTTTCAATTACATTTTACAACTATTGTGTTTGTATTTATTATATGATAACCGTTTGATATATTTTTTAAGCCAAATACACACGTTTCACAATTTGATGCATGTTTGATACACGTTTTGATAAATAATTTTGTCATTATGAATTATGCCATATTAGAATAATTTTTGTCAAAATTCGTATTTTTTATTTTAATTAAATTATAATTAAATTATACGTATGTTATTATCACCTCGTTATAAAAACAATGACAAAATGCTTTATTTAAAGAGTTAAGGGGATTGCTTGACATGTATCTTTTAATTCAAGATGAATAAAAATAACGATAATAGTATAACCATGAAAGATCAATTAATCAATATATATCTAATTTTTTAAATAAACTATTCTTGTAAATAAGAGCACCGAGAAGGAATAATTATAAAAAGCTATTTTTTTTTTTTTATAAATACCATATTTTTATTAATCCATGTTATGAAACTTGCAAGTATTGGTAAAACATTTTATATTGGTGACTTACTTATTGATGTGTCGCAATTCCTTACCTATCGTCCTTCCTTGCCTTACGCATCAGCTTTTAGTCATATAAAGCATAATACTTCGCCATAAATAAACATACAATTAGAACTTATTGCTTTCTAACTAAATTACTTTTATAATGAATTATACAATTTGTACTGTTAAAGATTTCAACGGCTATATTCCGTAACGTTATCAAGTACTTTAAAGTGCTATTAAACTCGTGTACAGTGAAGAGGAAACTTGACGGAAATTCGAAAAATGAATTTTAACATCATTATAATGTTCTCTTCAGAAATACACAAGGAAAACGAAATATGCATAAATTTTAATTTCAACCATTAATGTTGACGATAATCTTAATATTAATATTATTATCAATGTGGTGTAAGATCGTAAATTATTGATCAAATATCTTGCATGATATTGACATTTTACCACCTAAAGCAAAAGTGAAAATCCAATGCGTTGGAACGACGATTAAAAATATGCAGACATAAATGTATATTTCATCCACACACTACATGAAAGGAGAAAAACACGTTCATTTTAATCGATTTTAAATGTAAATTGTCGCCAAGCGGTCACCTCGGTTGTACAGAATGGCAAGCAGAATCATCGTTTATTTAAGCAGCGCACAGGTTTCAGACAAATACGTTCCATTAAACAAATCTTTCTTTACAACGATGATTAACAAAATTTTGCAATTAATGAAATTTTTAATAATATTTAATGATATAAGAGTGCAAGCAATATTCTCGAAATTCAAGCTATGGGGAATTCTCGAGCATTGAATTTAAATTTCCATTAAGCGATAACTAACTGGCAAGATTTGCAATGATAATTAATTTTCGAATTTTCTATGTGAGTATTAAACAACATGTCAATTTTCGCGTGAATACCGCATTATTGCTTATGAATTAAGCATTATTTCGTGCTAAAATTATTTCCCATAGAATTTTATGCATCAGCCACGTATCAAGGTTTTACGTAATATTGATTTGTTCTGCTATTTCTCATTAGCAACCACTATATAATGATATTCAGCAATCGATAATTATCTTATAAAATTCAATTTACATGTTAGTTAAAATTGATTTCTCACGAATTTTATTAATAAAAGTCAATGGTATAATAATTATCGTCATATCACTTCATTCATATTGAAAAAATTTTAAATTATATATTATTAAATACAATAAATGATCTATTGGCTATTGTTTGCTACTCAATCAATTTGCTATTTAATATTGTTTATTTCATTAGAGAAGCAATTTTTCTTGCATCATACAATATTTCATAGATTACCGTAAAATTTATTATTAATTATGATAATTGGAACATAGGTAAAAAATTTCAAAAATTGTTGACAAATTTGATTACATACAGACCGACTAAGAATTACAATTGGAATTTTTTTATTCTAAAAAAAAATTACTCATCTCAGTATAATTTTAAGCTAATTAATTATTTATGTACAATATATAACAAATACAAATATTATTTTGAGTTAAGAAAAAAGCTCATTGAAAAATATTTATCAACTTTTTATTATTTTTAATCTATTTAGCGTATTTAATATATTTGTCCTTTCCCTCTGTTTCTTCAATTTTGTGTGCGTGTGTGAGTGTGTGAGTGCGTGTGTTTGTGTATGCGCGCGCAGTAAATGATTGATTATTATTCACTTTATTTTAACTACAACAAAACATACAATAAATCAAAGATAAATAAAAAAGCACATACATTTGAATTAAAATACATATCAAAATATTTTAGATCCTGAAAAAAATATATATTAAAGCTTTTGAAATATTTACTTATCAGACGATAAATAAATACAAAGTCTACTCAGTTCATAATCGTATTAATTCAATTTGAAAATTCTTTTTCAAAATAAAACCATATCATTTTATTTTAGTCAATAAAAATCCATAATCTTCTTAAATTATAATCTCCCTTTTTCATTCGGTTACTAGTTCAATATAAATCACTGGATCATAGATTAGCTTTTATTCTTTTTATCATTCCAATTATTTTCAATTTATATATTGTGTATACATCATTATAGTTAACTATTTAAGTTCATGCATGTCGAGCACATATTTTATCGCGTGTAATTTTATAGCAGTAATCTCAAAATAAATTTTAGCATGTAAATTTGAATTAAGTTTAGAATTAAATACTTGAGGATCACTCTATTAAATCAGATGAAAAAAAGCAAATCTTAATTATAAATACAATATTATGTTTATTTAAAGAGTTAAAAACTAATGTTTGATTTGCATGGTCTTTGAGCAGTTGAAGATGTATTGTCAAGTTTTTTTAGTTATAAATTTACCACCAATTATAATCACAAAGGGCATACAAAGTTCTTTTGTTATTATTACACACTTTTGTTATGTTTCTTTTGTTATTATATGTTATCGCTAATCCTATTTCTAATCAATAATCAATTATCTTTTACAATACATTTACAATCCATGCTAAAATTGTGGAGAAAGGTTATTATTTTCAAATAATGGCTAATTACACATATTAAGAGTCTATCGTAATGTCAATGGATATTAAATATATAAACAATAATATTAACAAGGGAGATATGAAACTATCCAACTAGTTAAAACCCATACGAAAATGGATTCAAAAAAATAATACATTTTAAAATAAATATTGATATTTAATGCTGATATTTCTTAAATCTTGGAAAGAATTATTAAAAATAAGAATCATAACTAAAGTAAGATGTACGTAAAAATATTAAGTTTCACATAGAAAATGCTTTCAGTTTATATAAAATTCGAGAAATAAAAAGAGCTATTTCACCAATATAGATGTTATTCCGAAATAGCATAGATATCTTAGGAATGAAATTATAGAAATATAACTTAGAAATAAATGTTTAACAAATGTGAAAAAAGTTACTCAATGTATAAGTCGATACATACATTGTTAATTTCATTAAATAATTGCAATAATACTTATATATAATACATATGATAAAATCAATATAAAGAATAATTTTAACAAGTTATCACACGGTAATCAATGCAATAAAGTTTTAACTAACTTTAGTATCAAACTAGATTAAGTTCAAATATTATGATAAGTGAAGTTTAATATTTACAAAAATATTAAATATACCATTCATAAAGTACGCGATTAAATTTTCTAGTAATTAATATTGAGAAGATATTTATTAATAAGCGATTATTAATATTTCTTTTTATGTAATTTCAGAAGCTTCTAAAGTTATGAAAGCATATCGTCCTTGTATCGCAAGAAATATCTGACAAGATATTATTAATAAGCAAACAATTAATTTTTAACTCTATATCTTCCTTGAAGTAGACCCTTTTTTTTTACTAAACTTTTTATTTACATTATGAATATAGAACTAGCAGAAGGATTATTATTTAGTTGGTTCTTGCTTGAAAGTTTTGCTTGAATTATTTAGAAAATGTTCATTACGATCAATTTCTCATTGAATGAAATTAGTTTAAAAGCAGAAAAATTACTAATTAAAAGTAAAAAAAAAAAAAAAAAAAAAAAAGAGAAAAGAGCGAATAGAAACTCCTTTGCGATAAAAGTTGTCTATACGTCCCTTTACTTTTATTTGGTCCTTTTTCGAGTTATATTGCATTACGTGCTCGTGATCAAGCTAATACGAAAGGCACATCCGTGCGTATTAATTGACGAATGTGACGTGCCCTGATGACTGTCTCTTGTAAGTCAAGAAAAGTATCGGTGAAATTATGTTGTATGTTGAAAACAATGTCGACCACGACGATCGACTTTGTCAAGCGCGAGCCATACCGCCGCTACAGAACTTCAACCTAATAATTTCCTCGTAGCCAGCCACCACCTTGGCGCGGCTTGAACTTTGAACTTAAGTTTAAAGCTACGGAAGGAGAGGACTCGCCGTGCCTCAATAACTCTCAATGGACCGCCGGGGGTCGCTCCGGATCTTGGGGCGCGTCCAACGTGTCTGTGGCGAAGTAGCCCCGCGTCGGTAAGCGCGGAATCCGCCGAGCCAAGCGACCCCCGCTGCGTGCGCGCGCGGATATTGATTTTGGGGGTGGCTCTCTTCTCGCGCGGAACCGTCGCGGGGAGTCAGAAACACGCCCGTCCCGAGGCAACGAAGATGCGTCTCGCCGTAAGGCTCGCGCGCCTCTTGTTTATCTCAGCGATATTTTGCATTGGTAAGTCCAACATTGAGATTCATCGATTAATCAGGGAGACGGCTCGCCTCACCCTTCCTTCGTTTTTCACAGGACTCTGCTCCGAGGACGAGGAGAGGCTGGTGCGAGACCTCTTCCGCGGCTACAACAAGCTCATCAGGCCAGTGCAGAACATGACCGACACCGTCAACGTCAAATTCGGCCTCGCCTTCGTCCAGCTCATCAACGTCGTGAGTTGTTTACTGCGACTATGGCCGGACTATGGCCTCCCTACCCCCAGACCCTTCAACGCCCTTCCTTTTCTTTGGTATCCTACCCCCGTCTCCACTGCTGCTACCGTCACTTAACTTTATGTTTACTCAGAGCGAGTGCTCGCCTGGCGCGTTAATTATTCATTAACTTATTTAATCACTGTGGCACGTATGCTCAGCGCGACTAATTGCCGAAACTTGCGAGACGCATTTTATCTCAGCGTGAGATAATTTTTCGGTACTTTCAGAATGAGAAGAACCAGATTATGAAATCGAACGTCTGGTTACGGTTCGTGTGGACGGACTATCAGCTGCAGTGGGACGAGGCTGATTATGGAGGAATCTCGGTTCTTCGACTTCCGCCCGATAAAGTTTGGAAACCAGATATAGTACTCTTCAATAAGTAAGTGGCATCGTTTTTTAATCGAAATTTCTATTAATTATTTTTCGTATTCAATAAATTAAGGCAGACTATTATTTCAAAAGAATTTTTATCCATCGTCCTAATTGAGGCCCTAATAGCCAAAAATAATTAAAACGCATATATCGCTAAATCCATAGCGTCCTAATGAATAGAAAATAAAATTGAGAATTTTGCTTATAAATTATTACTATATATTATATATATATATATATATATATATATATATTTATATATATATAGTATATATTATTATATATTATTATATTATTATTATATATAATTATATATTATTATATATTATATATATTATTATATATTATTATTATATTATATATATTTATATATATATATATATATATATATATACGTGTTCACGTCTAATATTTACAAAATTAATATGTTCAATCATTTCATGTTCATTAAATTCAAAATTTATTATTATATTATCCCAACATTCGTTAAATTCAATACTTTCAATCAAATATTCATTATTAAATATCTATGATTAAAATTATTATTATTATTATTATTATTAAATTCTTAGATTAAATCATCCTTATGTGGCTAAACTTGATAAAGAAAACTGATTAATAATATTCAAAAGATTTGGCCTAATCTATTAAAAACAATTGTAATAATAATACAATTGTAATGGCTAATAAGCTTTTAATAATTATTACGTGCATAACAATTAAATGAGAATAATAATTTTAAAAAATTTTAATTTTTCTAATACGTTATAATATTCCAGTTAGAATATAAAATCAGAAACATTGTCACTTTAAATAAGTATTTATTGTAATTCGAATTGACCGATAAATTAAGAAACACTCGTTGTAAAACTAAATTAATTGAATACACAAATTATGGTAATTCAATGATTTAAACGAAGAAATATAAATAAAATAGTTTATTAAGAACTTCGGCCTTAAAGACATTGATTAATTAAATAAATTGGTTTGGCTTGCAAAAAAAATTGTATTGACGGAATTATTAGATTATTAGGAATTTAGTTGTATTACATTGCAATGCAATGAAATGTTAGTGATCCTATGAACAAATTTTATTGCATATTAAAATTACAATGAGTCTTAACATGAAAATCACAATTAAATTGTTGTTATTTAATTTGTCATTTATCGGAATCACATCAATTTCAAACAATTTCGTTGATATTTATTAACTAACTTATTTATAGACAAATGCTAATTAATATTAAAACCATATGGTTTTCTTTCTGTTTAATCGATGATTAATATGAGATACGTATTAAATAATTTGTAATTTATACGAATAACTGTCGTAACTATTGTTTTTTCCACTTTCGAAAAGTATAATGCTCGAGGAACTTATTACAAACAAATTAAAACAAAACAAAAACAAAACAAAAAAAGCACGGAGAACTATTATTAATTGAAACATACCATACAGCAAATGAATGGTCGTTAAAATTCGATTTTCATAACGTTGTAATAATGTAAAGAAGTTTGTATAAGTTTATAATGTCCTTACAGGCCTACTTATCGAGCTGCGAGTTCTGATTATGTAATATTAATCTGTTGCCTTGTCCAAGCGGCCATAGATAATGTTTCCGAATTCATTAATTGTAAAGCGTAACATGGCGTGAATTTTAATATGCTCCAGCCCTAGATCCTCTCCACCATAAAAGAAAAAAAATAAAAAAAAAAGAGAGAGAGAGAAAAGCAATGAAAAATAATGGTTGGTCGATCTTTGCCATACGAGCGCAGCGCTGACGGGAACTACGAGGTCCGTTACAAGAGCAACGTCCTGATCTACCCTAACGGCGAAGTACTGTGGGTGCCACCCGCAATTTACCAGAGCTCCTGCACTATCGATGTCACGTACTTTCCATTCGACCAGCAGACCTGCATCATGAAATTCGGCTCGTGGACATTCAATGGCGATCAGGTCTCGCTAGCCCTCTACAACGACAAGAACTTCGTCGACCTATCGGATTACTGGAAGTGCGGCACGTGGGACATCATAAACGTACCCGCCTTCCTAAACGTCTACGAGGAGTTCCCCACCGAGACGGACATCACCTTTTACATAATCATCCGTCGTAAAACCCTATTCTACACGGTCAACTTGATCTTGCCGACCGTTCTCATCTCCTTCCTCTGCGTCCTCGTCTTCTATTTGCCAGCAGAAGCCGGCGAGAAAGTCACTCTCGGTAATATCACTTACCTTTATCACGGAATGATAGCTTATTTATCGTTTATTAACTCGCTCGCGAACTAATATCCTTAATATAGTTAATAATTTAGCGAAACCTCCTGCCAGCCTCCGAAAACACTGCTGCAATCAACTATCTTGCCTCAGCACACCGATGGCTTACATCTCTACATAAATATCACGACGAAACTTATCAATTTAAACTACGTCTCTTACATTACAACGCATCACGTGAATTCGTTAATACAACAACATTATTCTCAATAGTACAATACAAAAGTAAATTTTACTCCAGATCTTATTTTCACAAGATAAAAACCAATTCAGTCAACATAGAAGTAAAAAATTAATCCTCAGCTTACATATTCCATATCCTTTACATTTCATTTTATATTGTTCGATAAATTATGATTTTATTCTCTATTGTATTATACGAATATACTTCACGTTGTATCATTAGATTGGAATATTTTAGCTTTATCTTGATGGTTAATATTTTTTTTTATTTAACATGTACTTCATATAATCAATGATTATGAAAATTAATATATATATATATATATATATATATATATATATATATTTTATTTTTCTTGTTCTCCCTCATTCCATTACTAACTCATCTATCATTATATTTTACCGATATTTCTTTATCTATAATTCTGTTCGCATAAGGCTATATATAAATAAATTGCATACTTATTGGCAGTAAAACGAAATCATAATTAAAAAAAAAATACATAGACTTTTGTAACACATTACCAACGAAACATTAATAGCTTTATTAACAAATTTATGTCCTCAGGAATAAGTATTCTTCTATCGCTGGTTGTGTTCCTGTTACTTGTAAGTAAAATATTGCCGCCAACGTCTCTCGTGCTACCGCTTATCGCTAAATATCTGCTCTTCACCTTCATCATGAACACCGTCAGTATTTTGGTGACAGTCGTTATTATCAATTGGAACTTCCGAGGGCCACGCACTCACCGGATGCCCCAAATGACTCGAAGGTCTATTTTCTCTCTCTCTCTCTCTCTCTCTCTGTCTCTCCTTCTAATGTTAATCATCAACTCGGCTTTAATGCTCAAACCTCATTCACCCCAGTGAATTTAAAGAATAATCGTATGTGTCGAGTAAATATAGCATAATGCATGCTCATTATCATGTTTCGTGACTCGTTATCCTTCGACCAAACAAATTCAATAAAATTATTATAAAGGAATAGGAAATGTAAAAATTCCTTCGGATTTAGACATCTATATCTTCCATTTATATGAGAAGGAAGGACTTAGTGCGATAAATTCTAAATTAATCTATTTTCAAGTTTATATAGGAAGTTAGTGAACTAAAAAGTACCGCAAAAGGTTAGCTTTCGTATGAAATAATATTTCATCCCCAATTTAAATTTGAAAAATTACATTGTAAAGTCTTGAAATACATTATAATATCCCTTCCTTACATTACAATTTTCCTTAATTATTAAAAACTTGTGATTTATTTGAAGCAATATTATGGTTTTAAAAAAGCAGTGTAATATTCAAAATCATTTTACATAAATAATTATTATAATGTACCGTGAAATCTTTACAGAATAAGTCCATATTATCATCATCATCACCATCATCAATATTATCGCCCATCATTGTTGTTATTATTATTATCATTATCATTATCATTATTATCATTATTATCATTATCATTATTATCATTATTATCATTATTATTATTATTATTATATATTCATTATTATTATATTCATTAATTATTTTGAGAGTGCGAATTCCAGTAACTATGAGCACAAATATCGAACTAATAAATTGGGGTCCCATTCTCGCAGGATCTTCCTGAAAATTTTACCGACGATCTTGTTGATGCGCCGACCGAAGAAGACGCGGCTGCGCTGGATGATGGAGATTCCGAACGTGACGTTGCCGACCTCGACGTACTCAGGTAGTCCGACGGAGCTACCTAAGCATCTACCGGCCTCACTTGCCTCCAAGCCTAAAATGGAGATGATGGAGCTGTCTGACCTCCACCACCCGAACTGCAAAATCAACCGAAAGAACCACCACACGGGCGGCTCGAGTGCGGCAGGCTCGGAGGCCCTTGCCGACAGGCGCGGCTCCGAGAGCTCGGACTCGGTGCTCCTCAGTCCCGAGGCTACCAAGGCTACCGAAGCCGTGGAATTCATCGCCGAGCATCTTCGCAACGAGGACCTCTACATTCAGGTATGCATTAGCCCCGGGGACACACGCGCCTCACTCACGAGCGCTGCACACAACTCGAGGACATTCCAACGCTTATGGAAATCATTTGAAATGTCAATAATTTACAATTATCTAGCATTAATCGATTGACAAATTTAATAACATTGAATATTTCATTTAATGATGCGTAAGTAATTTTGGTAACTCTCTGTATCCTAAAATTTTTTTTAGCTTCTTTTTCAATGCTTATCGCATTTGATCTATGGTATTTGATTAATAGCTTCTAGTTTTTACTTATTGTTAATATAATTATGGATACATTACAAATATATATTGATGATGGCATATATGCGCTTGAAAGAAATTTAAACATTTAAAAGCCGCGCTGAGTAAACTAATGAAAATAATAAACATTCACATCCGGCAATGAACCGAAAGGAGAAAAACTAAAATAGTCTTAATATTATGGATAGAAACTTTTTGCTTATTTTTGAATAAGTAATATTTCGCGCACGTTATAGCCATTTTATCAAAGAGACTGAAGAGTATCCTCGAATAAATGGTTAATAAAGGGAATATGAATAAATGAATTGAGAAAAGTAACGTTTGAAATTTTATTTCGATTCTCGTGCAGACACGAGAAGACTGGAAATACGTAGCGATGGTTATAGATCGACTGCAGCTCTACATATTCTTCATCGTGACCACGGCAGGGACGATCGGCATCCTAATGGACGCTCCCCACATCTTCGAGTACGTCGATCAGGATCGCATCATCGAGATCTATCGGGGCAAGTGAAGAACGTACCGACTTACCTGCTTACTTGCCCGTATTGTCTCTCCCCTTTTTGTCTCCGACTTGGTCGCACTTAGCAATGGGATACTTCAACGTCATAGGGTGCACTTACCAAGCACTGCTCAAAGTTTACATTCTAAGTAACTTGGAAAGGAATTTCACTCTTTTAAAAAAGCGATAATTTTTCCGACTACTTTTCTACTCTGCATACTATCGTCATTGCCAATGAGAAATATTCTATTCTAAGGAATTTATAGCATCGATCGGTGATACTCGCAGAAAAGCATTGCAACTAATGCGCGAGCTTTTCACCTATTTTGGTAAGAGAGTAATTATTAATGCGATTATTATTATGATATAAGGAGTCGTATTATACATAGTAAATACCTAAAACCGGAGAAGGTAAAACGCTATATGACTCTGTACTATTCGCCCCATAATAATAATCTCCATTCCAAAGACTACAATTATCTAATATAAAAATAAAGTCCAATAAAATTCATGCGAATCTTCTCGATTTTGCCATTGCATAATTAATTTATAATTTGGTGATGTTAATATTCAAAATATAATAAATATCTTAAATATTTGATAGTATGCGCGGATCATTTAAGAGATTGCGAAAAAAAGTTTCTTTTTCACGCGATGCTTATTATTCATGTAACATTTACTATCAAGCAGCAAGCAAATTATTAAAAATCTTTGTCAAATATTTATATAATAATCGCAATAATTTCCTCTTCGCGTAAGAAAAATTAAGCTAAAATTTTTACCAAAGTTTTATTGTACTGGCCAACCCATTAAATGAAACCGTCATATAATTATCTATAAGAACTCGATCGAATGCAAATAAATTAAAAGCATTGAAAAATGCAAAAAATATTACATGTTTTTCATTATTATTCGATTATGGAATCGAGCATATTTTTAAAATGTATCGATATACCCAGTAATTGTACTGCAAATCATCGTATTATAAACAACTCGAGTGTCTGGTCCGGGAAAAAAAAAAAAATAATAATAAAAAAGAAAGAACGCCAAATATCAGAAAAATAACCTACATAAATCATGAATAAATAAATAAAACAAATATAAAAGTGAAGACATAAATATATGTGAATAATGCGAACGAAGTCGTAACCTTAAGGCTTTTGCTCGAACGGAATGAATGATAAAACAGATATTTTTACTTAATTAATATTGGGTACGAATTGATTGATAGATAATAATAAACAACGGATGAATATTATTAAATATGTGCAAATTACGGCTTCGTTTGTGTTTAGTGAAGCATATTCTTGAAAAAAGTCAAGAAAACGATCGCTTATATATCTAAGTTTGTTATATGTTTAACAGATAATATTGCAAAAGTATCATATATGAAAATTCAAGAATATTCCCATGTTTCAATATGTAAAATTGTTTTTTATTGAAATATGCTGAGGAAAATGCAAGTAGAAAGTATTTCTAAAGCTAATTTTTAACGTTATGAATGTGTAAGCAAAATTTTATTGTAACTGTTTATTGCTAGGAGTGGGCGTGTGTTATGTCCATGTGGGTGCGCGCAAGTTAGTGCATGTGTGTGAATGTTTTAATTATTAAATCAGAGGTGTATTTTGTAGATCGTAATTAAATTACATTCCGAATTTTTAAGGAATGTCCGACTTTTATTTTCAATTAAATTTGAAACACAAGCCATCCGTCAATCCATAAACAAAACATAAATGACATAACTATATATACACAATTTTAATAATAATACATTGAACGAATTTATAGTAAAAATAAAATACAGAATGCACGAAAGTAATTATGTATTTGATAAACGATAGCCGAATTTGATTAAATAATAAACGTTGCAATTGATATTTTTTCCGCAAATAATTGATTTTAATATGTTCTCTACACTTACAGAATAAGAAATTTATAACAATTCCGAATTTAACTGAATTTGAACATCAAAACTATTCCTATACAATTATTATTTTTAATTGTTTTTAATTATTTTTAACACATACGTGTTAGTGCATGCTTATGCGAGCCCGTTCGTACGTATGGTACGTGCATCCGTGTGCGTGTGTGCGTGCGTGTATAAATGAGTGCATGTAGATGTAATAATAGTTTTTTGTTACGTGTGTATATATAATTATATATATATATGCAACGTACCATCGTGTCTTGTATATTCCTCAGACGAATTGCAGTCGTTCGCTTGCGCGAATATATTAATATGATAAAAATTTCGAATTTCACGATACGTCACGTGTCTTCCCTTAAAAAAGCGCTATATGGAAAAAATACAATAACTAGATTAGTAATAATAATTTGTTAATAAAAAGGTATAAAAAATTAATGTAATTTTACAAAATAGTTTCACGCACAAAGCCTGGTTAAATATATTTTAAACATTTAATTATAAAAGACAAATTGTAAATTTTAATATCTTTTAAATGAAAATTATTCAAAATGTATATAATTTATTACGTATGATTTTAATTAAAAATATTTTCAACGCTTGTTTTTTATCTTTGATAAAATGTATTTGATAAATTACTAATAGAATATTATTATTACATTGTTAAAAGCTATTAAAGTATTGTATTCAAACTGTTAATATTTATATTAAATTATAATACATATATATATATATATATATATATATATATATATATATTGATTTTTTTTATGAACTACAAGTAGTACTTAACTTAACTTATAATTCTTTAGTGATATTGTAATTTATAATAAATCTGAAAATTAAATTATTATTGAAATTATTTTGTAAAATAACGATATATGTAAGGAAGCAATGTGAGAAATCACAAGACATCATAAATAAAATATAATTAATATGTAATAAAATGAATTAATGGTAATAGAAAAAGCTTTTTATTGTCTGATAAGAATGAATATGATATGAGAGTTATTAACTAGAGAAACTTATACGAATAATTAGTAAAAAGTTGTATGCAAATAATTAAATAGGGCATTAATTACAATTAGATAAAAATATGTGCTCCAAGTCCTGAAGATTAAAAATTTATATTTAGTTATTAAAATGTAACTTTTTTACGGTTTCTTGTAATATTAAGATGTACTGTTTCACATGCTCATGTACTATCTTTTAAGGATAATATGTTGCTCAAGTAATTATGAAATATTCTGTATTATCGAGAAACTTAGTGAACTATCCTCTTAAGAAATAAAAGCATTATCAAATAAAAATAATGTCCATTATGTACGTAATGAAGTTTCTACATATTGCAGTTCTATTTCTAATCATATGTATAAGCGAGGCTGATAAACACATAAAAATATATTATACCAATGGTAGCTCAAAAAAATAAATGATTCGCATATAATTGTTAATAAGTTTAGTATTGGTTTATTCTTAATGATTGTTGTCAATCGTCGATCAGTCATCAGTTATTAATGATTAATAATAGCACATACATCATTATTATATTGATAAATAATAAATTAGTTAATTATTTAAATGTTGTTCTATTTAATTAAAAATACTTTGTATGTATATATATATATATATATATATATATATATATATACATACATACATGCATACATTTCAAATAAAAAAATACATGTTGTCATTACATAATAAATCGTTAATTAATATAACCATTTAAAATACCACATAATTAGTTTTAAAATTTTCAAATAAAAAAATACATGTTGTCATTACATAATAAATCGTTAATTAATATAACCATTTAAAATACCACATAATTAGTTTTAAAATTATATTATAGAATATATTATCTCGTTTCTTTTATTACAAAGTTTTATAATCTATCTAAACGATCAGGTTTTAAACCCAATCTTTCTATCACATACTCTGGCATACAATATGTGGGATTTATTTCTTTTAATGATTTGTCACAACCCAACATTGAAATAGCTGTAAGACCAAATAATGTGTGAAAGGGATCCGCCATGTCACCAGGTCGATCGCTAAACCCACCTGTTTCCGTATCTTGACAAGCTAATATATAAGTCACCTGTAAATTAAAATTAAAATTAATATTAAAATTAGTCGCGATACAAGTGTGCTTGATAATTAAATTAATTAAAATATTTTTAAATATATTTAAAACAATCAAATCAAATCATTGCGTGCAATGGCATAACTAAAATTTATGTAATATAGTGGTACTCTTACTAATTGATTTTTGTCGATCCAATGAAAGCGTCCTAATATTGTAAGTGAAGATAGCACCCACCATGAATAGCACACGTCGGGCAATTTTTCTGGTCTCCCATTCAAACCCCCTGAAGGTAATTGTCTTTCACAGAGCCACCAACCTAATTTATCTGCGTCAACTAAATGCAGGTGACCTATTGTTAAATAATATTTACATGTTATTACTAAAATGAAAAACTTAACAATGAATATAGATTTGTATATATTTTTATCTATACTTTCTCAAAACATTATTAATTCTGTTAAAATCTCAATTTATTATTAAATTTTAAAGAACTTTAATCCATTACATCCTATGATATATTTGTAATAGTTTTTTTTTATCGCAGAATAAAATTTAAACATGTGAAGAAATATTATTAACAATATTTTTTATATATTTTTTCTATAATAATATATAATACTACATAACAAAATATTAAAATATATAAACATTTATTCAATATTATAAATTCCTTTGATTAAATGAAACAAATTATTGAACGAGTGTAATGAAAATATTTCTTATATTTTTCATCAAAATTATTATAAAACTACAATGTGTATAAAATTTATGTATATGGAATATACTGTACCAACTATAGATAAAGTTCCAAGACAACAATAAATTAAACCAGCGTGACTTTCTGAACTAGGTTTCGAACCAAAGCCACCATCAAAATTCATACAACTTTTAATAAATTCAACAGCTTTATCAATATTTATTTCATCAAGACGACTCTAAAAACTTGAAAACTTTTAACATTGAAAATAATAAAAAAAAATAAAAAATAAAAAAAATAATAGTGATTAATATGGTAATCACCAATAGGGATAATGATGCAATTGCACAAAAAGTAAACCTTGCATCCACTTCACCCCATATGTCACCTGTAAAACTGCCATCTGGTAATTGCCTCTCTTTTATATATATCACAACTTTTTCAACGTCAATGACATCAATAGCATCGTATATACATAAAATTTGAATAGCACTAAGCGTAGAAAGCATGTGTGGATCGTGACAAATGCTTGGACTAATGCCACCACAGTCGTGCTGACATTTTTTAACAAAATCTAAGATCGTTTCCTTATTACTGCGATCTAACTGACCCATTAAATCGAGCGCAGTTAAGCCCCAATATATTCCAGACATACGAAGATGTTCTGTCATACAATTTATCTGTAAAATTGTAACAAGAATCCTATAATTCAATAATAAACGATATGCTTACGATACATCATATTTAACTCACATAATCATCTTTATTCGATTCGTAGGAAACAAGATAATCAGCATGCTTTTGTAACAATAAATCCGGTATCGTTTCAGGCAGTCGTACATCTTTCATTGGAAAAGCCTATTATAAGAAAATTAATTGAATATTGAACAGTCTGCGAATTCTAGGTACTAATAATTATAATTAATAATTTACCGACTTACCATTTTACCATTAACCACCCGTACAGGTTAACTTTTCCTAATTCTGCAAACAAAATATATCTATCACATGAATAAGCTTGAAAAGAAAAATTTTTAAATAATTCTTTGAATACTATTCACACATGGCGTCATTCGTAACGTTAAACGTATTACGCATTACGTATTTATAAAATTATAAAAACATTTTTCAGAAAACATGATAATAATTATTTACATGAGAACTACACCAAATAATTGCTTGCAAAACTGGGCCCACTACCACAAACAAACATGTATATATGCATATATATATATATATATATATATGCATATATGCTCACACACGCAGGCGCATAGCTATATGAATAAATTTGAAAACGCTAATAGTGCCTAATGGAAACGAGACTAGAATAATTGGCAACGCTGTCAACGTTGTAGGTATTTGAACAGGCTAAAGTCGGTTGTGTTATTGAGGTTTATACCGCCAATTTTTTCGGAGTTTCTTATGGTTGTAAGGTAAATAATTCATTGAGTTTAAGTTATTTTTTTTTTAATATTATGCTTAAAAGCTTGAGTAATTGGAGTTAGAAGTTAATTTATTGCTATACATTTATAATAAAAGTAACATTGACACATCTTAACCATACGCGAATTGATGTTTCATTTCAGGCAACAGAATCAATTTATTCGATTATATTAAACTCAGAAAAAATCGAAAAAGATGCCACGAACTAAACAGAGAAAAGTAAAACGAACTAGTGCCGGATATGAACAGATTAGTCGCGATTTTAATAGATTAGTACAGCTAAAAATTCATAAATTAGAACTTGATTTTAAAGGATTGGAACAGAAATTTGATGCATCCATGCAGCTTGCATTGAGTCGGTACCCGACGGAAATTCAAAACTTAACGTTACGTGAACTATTAACGATTGATGATAGTCCAAAAAAAGAAAACATTCCCCCAAAAACTCCCAGGATCACTAAAGAGTCGAAGAAAAGTTCCTTTAAGCCACTGCGAAGTACAAATCCAAAAAGAGTAACAGCAGTATCTGACGATGGTTACCAAAGTGAATCAACGGTCAGTCAAGCATCAAAAATGAATGTAAAACCTAAACGCCGGTCCAGAAGTGCGTCTCAAGACAAAACTAAAGAGAGATTAAGAAGTTTGTCAAGAGATAGAAAGTCAAAATTAAATGTCGCTAGTGCTCTGAAGACAATTAAAAAGGACAATATGAAAACACCGTCGTCCAAACCAATGCACAGTTTTGTAATAACTCCAAAAGTGCGATTAAACTCAGCCATTAATGTTTTGAGAAAGCCAAAAGATGGAGAAATGGTTTTCAGTACTCAAGGTAGTCCACTACTAGTTTCAACAACAGTAAACGATAGAACAGCTAATATTAATGTTCCTTTGAAGAATGGAAATATCGTATCATTATTGCCATTTAATGAAACATCGCTTATGGATAATTTACATTTAGATGACGAAACAAAGCACCAGTTAAAGATCTTACATAGCCATCTTACAAAAGTTTTAGATTAATTATTATTTACTTGTATAAGTACTTGTATAAGTAATAACAAATAATTTAGTTATATTAAGTTAACAAAAACAAGTTATAAGTGTATTTTAGTTAAATTAAACTGTATTTACAATTTTATTGAAGAAAATTGTGAAAGAAATACTTGTATTGCATTTGTGTGAGAATGTTAATCTGTAAGAATGTAGTTTTATACTTTTGTACCTATAAGATATTTAAAAGGATAATGGGATACATTATTTTTATTTTCATTGATAATTAAAATTATACACAATTATAATTATATAATTATAAACTTTTTAAAAAGTTTTTTTTTTTATTACGATGATTTCAGCAAATGGTTGTTTGCACCCATCATCCAAATTGTATTTTTACTCTAAGCCTTATTAACCAATGGACTTTTGCATTAAAGTAATCAAATAAAAAATATATATATGTAAATGTAACTTTAATAAACCTAATGAAAACATTTCACACTTTGATGCTTCTTTTTAGCAAAACAGCAAGATGCTTTAAAGTATGCGATTTATTAGTATATTCAAGAGTTAATTTTCACTTAAGTATTACATAGGTGCATAAATTTTGCTTTAAGAAAGGATATTTAAACTTTTGCTTGAATTCTGAATTACGCAAAACAACTCTACTGTAGTACATCTGAGAGACTATGTATATCAAAATCACATGATATTTAAATTTTATTAAACGATTAACAATTGTATGATTTATAATTATCGATAATTAAATAGTATTATTTATAATACTTTGAAGTTAACAAAATAATAAAGGAATTCACATTTATGTAAATGTTAAATACACCCGTAAGATGCTACAATTGCTAAATATATAATTAATTTTTATCACAAAAAGATATAAATTTTTTAACACATTTTTCAAAAGCGGCTTTTTATAATAAAAAAAATATATGAACGCAGCTTAAACAATAAATTAAAGAATATTTTTAATTCAATTATTTTTATTTTTAACTTTTAATTAAATAAAAGAATCGAGCTATACTACACCGATTTTATAAGCGTTTTAAAATAACAAAACGTTTACATCTCAAAAACTTCTCAATTTTCATGAAAAGTTAGTATTTATTTTTAAAATATTGCTTGCCACTTTTATCCGTATATATTAACAATAATAATGTCCCTTATAAATTCGTAAAAATTTTCAGAATATAATGCTGTAAGAATAAAAGTTTCTTTTACTTTATTTTCTTTTAAATAATCTCGCTTGCAAATAAATGCTTATCTATAATTAATTTAAAAAATCCAAATCTGCTGCACAGCAAAGCAGACATATTTTATTCTCATTAAAATTCGAATAAAGCCGTGAAAAAGTTTAGTGTAAAATAATTCAACCATATTTCTACTATATATATATATATATATTATATATATATATATATATATATATTGATAATTGATCATAAAATAGAAGAAAAAAACAGTCAACAAAAATGGCGACTGCGGGACACTCGGCCTTC